CCAGGTGGGCAAAGAGGGGTCCAGGGGTGTGGGATCCTCTCCCAGGTGGGCAAAGAGGGGTCCAGGTGTGTGGGATCCTCTCCCAGGTGGGCAAAGAGGGGTCCAGGTGTGTGGGATCCCCATCCCAGGTGTGTGGGATCCCATCCCAGATGTGCAAAGAGAGGTTCAGGTGTGTGGGATCCTCGCCCAGGTGTGCACAATCCCATCCCAGATGTGAAGAAAGGGATCCAGGAGTGCTGGATCCCCTCCCAGGTAGGCAAAGAGGGGTCCAGGGGTGTGGGATCCCTTCCCAGATGTGCAAAGAGGGGTTCAGGTGTGTGGGATCCCCTCCCAGGTGTGTGGGATCCCCTCCCAGGTGTGTGGGATCCCCATCCCAGGTGCGTGGGATCCCCTTCCAGGTGGGCAAAGAGGGGTCCAGATGTGCGGGATCCCCTCCCAGGTGAGCAAAGAGGGGTCCAGGTGTGCAGAATCCTCACCCAGATGTGCACAATCCCATCCCAGGTGGGCACAGAGGGGTCCAGGCTTGTGGGATCCCCTCCCAGGTGTGTGGGACCCCCTCCCAGATGTGCACAATACCCTCCCAGGTGTGCAGAGGAGGATCCAGGTGTGCACGACCCCTTCCCAGATGTGCAAAATTCCCTCTCAGGTGTGCAGAATCCCCTCCCAGATGTGCAGGAAAGGATCCAGGTGTGCACAATCCCCACCCAGGTGTGCAGGAAAGAATCCAGATGTGTGGGACCCCCTCCCAGATGTGCAGAATCCCCTCCCACTCCCCTCGCGTGATAATCGGGGCAATCCCGGATTTGGGGACCCTCCCTCAGATGGGAATTGGGGCAATCCCAGATTTGGGGACCCCCCCTCAGGTGAGAATCAGGGCAATCCCGGATTTGGGGTCCCCCTGCCCCCCTCAGGTGGGAATCGGGGCAATCCCGGATTTGGGGACCCCCCCTCAGGTGGGAATCGGGGCAATCCCAGATTTGGGGACCCCCCTGCCCCCCTCAGGTGGGAATCGGGGCAATCCCGGATTTGGGGTCCCCCCTGCCCCCCTCAGGTGGGAATCGGGGCAATCCCGGATTTGGGGACCCCCCCTTGGGTGAGAATCGGGGCGATCCC